CTCAGTTCGCCTGAACCCTCTGGCCCATCCCTAACTGTGACATAGACCAGACTCCCAGCTCTATTTTGTCAGACCAGCTACAGTATGTTAGCTCATTAACATTAACAGGGTTCCCGTGGGTCTTTTAAAAAGTACTAAATGTGATTTTTAAAATTTTAATGCATAAATGTCTGTAAAAGTTTTCTACTTATACGATGTCTTAAATTTTGAGATGGCACTTAGACTAACTGAGACTGTCTAGAAATCTGTCTTACTGTATCTGGTTAGCATTTTATAATTTTTTTTTTTTTTTGTTACAAATTTTTGTGGATTTGCATGGTGGATCTTGCAGTCCCATGACTTATATGTACACTGTCTCCCACATTTTCTGCAAACAGAAAAGACAAGAAGAAGCTAGCAAGTTGGCGAGAAGCAAAGGAAATTTAGCTCTAAGATGAAAAGTGGACTGCCAGGCAAGGTTAGCTCTTTTGATTTGATTTTGAGGCAACCTTGGGACAATGGGAATTATAGCAGCTGGATCCCAAATGAAATCAGAAAAGTACAGGTGCTACACTGGTACTCAAAAAAGTAGAGGGCCAGGGTAGTCTTACATGTCTGCTGCCATAACATATTCAGCTCCCGTTGGATTAAAGACCATGCAGGTACACTTCTCGGGGTGACTGTGGTTCAGTGGGTAGAGCAGTCATCTCCCAACCGGAGGGTCGGAGGTTTGAATCTCAGTGCCTGCAGTCCACGTGTTGAAGTGTCCTTGGGCAAGACACTGAACCCCTAAGTTGCCCCCGATAGTTAAAGCCATCGGTTGAGTTGGCGCTGCAGATGGCTGCCTCGGTTCTGTAACAGAAACAAATTTCTTGTGCGTAACATGCTTGGCCAAATGAAGGTGATTATCCTTAATATACAAATAATTAATTCTAGTTCCGGGGAATGTGGATCCAGTTATACCAGTCCTGCACTAATTCCCACTGTAAAGAACATTATAATGTCCAGTTCTTTGCTACAACTGTTTGAGAAGTAGGGTTGAGGTTTTTGCTGGTGTTGAATTGCACTGTGGTAATACTGAGGGGTGTTTTTATAATCTTGTTCGCCTGAATTATATCAATGTGGTTGTCAAGGAACAAACTATAGCTTCAAAAGTGATTACAAAATGTAATTAACACCTCTCTAGAAAAGTTTAAATAAAAACAGAACATAACTGTCATGTAGAAGGACTTTCTGTTGCATTACACTGTATTAGGTTTTGTTAGGTGGACCTAATAAATTGGTAACTGAATGTATATAACAAAGATGTTCAGAAAAATGTTTGATTTCACTTCTGTTGACCTGCAAGTTACCAAAATCATACCTGCTGTTCTGTTTTACGAATGATTCTATTGCCCATACAGTGTGGTTATACCAGTAATTATCACGTAAATAAGCTTTTGCTCCAGCCCTGGAGTTTCCATTGTGTTTTGGTTAGTCTTGCTGCTAACGTAGCCTACTCTACCTTAGCATCATTGTGTCACCATTGATGGATTAAAAACACAGTTTAACATGCAGTACTAACAAAATAGGTGGTGGTGTTATGGTGCATTAACTGAGGTCCAAATCTGACAATGAATAGCAGTGAATGCTCATGCTAACAAGGTAAACAAAAGACTCTTCTTCCAGTGGCCACCCATGTCCCCATCAACCCCCATACATAATTGGTCAGCTATCGGTGTCTGATTCTGTGAAAGTTGACCCAGATTCAAATTTTTCCACCATATTGGAGAGAGACACACAGGAGAGGCTCTCCTATAGCTCCACTAGCTCAGGTATCCATACAGTGACTCTCACAGCAATAATAACACGTTTGTAGTGACTGTCAGAACTCCACCAGACTCTCTCTCCAATGGAGAAAAGGAAAGTCTGACAGCAGTTTCTTATGCCTGTTAGCGATGACACTGTCCACTGTCACGATGCTGCACTGTGAGCAGTGGTCAGCGTCCTCTACTCTCCATGTCACACGTTACATGGCAACTATGCCACACCCCCTAGTAGTTGTTCCTCAGTCCTCTTGCATTTTTCTTTTTTTTTATATGCTGGGAGAGAAAAATATAGGTGCATAGTTACCCTTTAATTAGGTAAACCGAATCTTGGGTTTTGGACTGGAGCAATCTTGGACACAGATTTTGTAATGGACATTTAGTACTTGTTTTTGTGTTTTATAGACAGAACAAGCAATAAGCAAATTAATTAATAAGCAATTAATTAGTTGCAGATCTAAAGGTATTATTAATATAGCCCAAAGCATGCAGTATATGGGGATGATTCACAAATAGAGAAATGTTTTTCTTTCTACGTTTACTTTTTATTTTCGAGAAAACTTGATACGTTACTTCAGAAACAAGCCTGCTGAATGAATGAAAAAAACATCTGACTACCTAAACGGGGTATGATTGTACTGGAGCATAATCAACTGGTACAAGCCATGTAAAAACAAACGGATCACTGCATTGTGAAGGCCATGTTAGTAGTCAATCAACAAGTGATATCAATTGATTTCAAAAGATTTAATCACGATTGTCCATATTTAACTTACAAGTACATTTACTCAAGTAATGTACTTGGGTACAATTTTGAGGCATCTGTATTTGAGTATTTTCATTTTCTGTTACTTCATACTTTGACTTTACTACATTTTGGAGGCAAATATTGTACTTTGTACATTTGTTTTACAGCTTTAGTTATTAGTTACTTCAGAACCAGATTAATACAAAAAAATACAGTATAATTATAAGACCGCATTGATCTATGGTGGAAAATTCACATGCTAGCCAGCAGTAATTCAAATTAAATACATATAAGCAGGTTACAACTAGCTCTGCCTTTACTAGCTGCCTCATTAAATGTGATGTACACAATAATGCATTTGTATTTATAATACAATGATATGATACACAGGATTGTAAAATGTGCCATTCTGCATAATGAGTAATTTTGCTTTTAATACTTTTAAGTATGTTTTGATGCTAATACTTTTGTACTTTTACTTGAGTAACATTTTGAATGCAGTACTTTTACTTGTAACAGAGTATTTTTACACAGTTGTATTGCTACGTTTACTTAAGTAAAGGATCTGAGTACTTCTTCCACCACTGGTTCTAAATGTACCTTAAAGGGACCCCTGTGTAACTGATTACTGAGAGAAGTCCAGTTGTCTCCGGTGAGCGCAACCATGTTTGTCTGTCCCAATGCCTCCTCCACTTTAGCTTTCTCATCTTCATACAACTTGTGTATCTTGGTTACAGTGATGGCTCTCAACATGCAGTCTTTGGATACAATGTGAATTATTTCAAGCAGACCCTCATTGTTCAGTGTTAAATGGCCTGTGAGCTGTCACCCATTTAGCTGTCACTGTTGAAAGTTTGTTGCTTGTAGAGTTGTCCAGGTATCTCTTTGCAAACTATTCAGCATGGTCTGTTTTGGCGAGGGGAGGAGGGCTCTCTGCATCATCTTGTGTTTGGCTAGCAAGTGGTATTTGAGACTCGGTGTACCCCTGTACTCCGGTGGTAACTCAATTCACATCAACAGTAAATGCAAATAACTTTGGTCTTGTCAAGAGAACCATCTGGCAGGGCTTTGAAGCTGAACTTGCCATTCAAAAGACCCTTTTTCTTTATCAGTTTCTGCTGCATTGCTTCCTGATTTCCAAAACTACGGGGCAAGCCAATGGTCATAATCACAGAATGTACATGTGTTAATTACACCTCAAAAAAAATTGTGGTGTTAAAAGCTTTTTGCACTAACTCATTATTGTGTTAACTTTGACAGCCCTACAATAGGTTAATCAATTTTGGAACTATATGACTCTCAGACTCATGCATTAGTTTTTCATGCATTGATCTCAGACAGGGCTTGAAGGGAGGAAAGCTAGCCTGACTTGAGTTACGTGATGTGGTTTTCTTGATGGACCTTTCATCTGCAGAAGCATGCTGCAACTCATTACCCCCCCTCTCTCACAGATCGATACATCATGCCTTACATGGGAAGGACAGCAGTTCCAGGGAAAAAGAGCAATCGTTGAGAAACTCTCTGTGAGTTTATCTGGTGACTTATAGTTTTGTCAGTAGACTTACAGGTGACAAATGTTACCCTGAGAAACCTGATACCATGAATTAGACAACCTCTATAGTAATCTGGTTATTTTTAAATTGTCTACACATATAGCAGTCAAGTAATTAGATTTTACTTAATGAAAATAATTCAAGAGGAATCTTGTATAAAGGTTTTTATTTCTTTTTGGTTTTTAAAAATTCATTCATTGTCTAATATAATTATTAATCTTCCTTATATCTATGTTCTTTTATGCATGTACTAGAGTCTCCCCTTCACAAAAATAGCGCATAGTATAACAGCGCAAGACCACCAGCCAACTCCAGACTGCTGCATCTTGAGTATGGTTGTAGGACAGCTAAAAGTAAGTGGCACTATCACTGTAATAACACTCTGTTTTACTGCCAGATCATCACACATTCACTTTCATTGTAAATAAGGTTTTTCATGTATGTACCTGTTTCAAAAGGTCTTTGATTTAAAATTAGAATTAATAAACTAACATTTTATATAGTCAAATATTTGATGTCTGTATATAATGAAGAAAAAATAAATATCTTTATTGTCATTGCACTGAAAACAGTACAACGAATAAAAAAAAAAAATACAGGTTGGTTAAAAAGTACCCTTTATTTCAAGTCTTTTTATTTATCAGGACCTAAAAAAAACTATTGTTTGGACACTGCATGATTAACTGTTTTTCCAGTCTTGAAAACACAGGGGTGTGGGTGTGTGTATACATCATGCCCAGAAAAAAAAAAACTTTAGCCATGGTACCTGTGAAAGCACCTGTGCTGATGTGGTGAATCCTTTGTACAATAGAAGATAACAGTGCTATTCCAACTCTTTCTGTTCTCATATTAATCATTTTTCTCACTGTTACAAAAACTACACAAATATATTGAGTTATTAGGTTCAACTATTGCAGTCCAATCCAACTGCTCTGCAATAAGTTCTGTCTTCATGAAGGTTATTACATTCTGTTTGTGTTTGAATGCTGTTGAGTAAATCATGTAATTCTGGAGGCTGAAGTTTGTAGTGCTGGTGCTTTTATATTACATTGTATTGACCACTAAGTGTTTCTGGTATTTTGACAGATTATTTAGGTCCCTTTTGTGTTTGTGTGATTGCTGGTGTAGCCAGTAATCTCCACTGTGGTGTTTGCCCTGAACCTCCTCTGTTTGTGTGTGTCTGTAGGTAGATGATGACCCCATCATGGGTTTCCATCAGAGTTTCATTCTGAAGAACATTAATGATGCATGGGTGTGCACCAATGACACGTTTAGGCTGGCTATTCACAACTTTGGCTAACCCCTCCCCGCTCTGGTGGGCAGGGGCGGCCATAGTGAAGGGCACCAAGTGATGAAATATGGAGCGAGGAGATGAGGATGGAGAGAAGAGAGAACACTCAACCCTTCCTCCTGCTGTCTCATTTCTGCCTGTTTGACAGACAAGCAAACACCAGAGTCTAGATGTCATTCACTGAACCTCATCCAGGTGGGTTTTAAGACCACCCAGTCAGTAGAACTGCAACGTGTTCTTTGCTGAGAGCCAGCCGACCAATCAGATGCCCCTGTCTGCCACTCCGATGATCTGCATGACGCTGGGAACCCCTTCATTACAATATCTACAGTCAAGCCACCAAAAAAAAAACAAAAAAAACAGCTGACCGACGCCATTAAACTCTTAACTCTGCTCTGCTCTCCACTCCTCTTTACTCTATTCTAACTCATTCTATTCTACTGTTCACTCAAACGCTGTCAGCTCAGTTCTGTTAGCACTGTTGTTGACTGGTTTGTAGATCCTTGTTCAGGTTCAGAGTCAGCTTTTTCACTCCTGACTTCTTGTGTTGTAATTTGTTTTTAGGCACAACTTGTGTGTTGACTTTAGCTTGCCTTAGTGTGTTTGAGTTTTATCTTCCTTCTACACAGTTGTTAACTTTGCCATGATTCATTCTCATGCTAGGTTTTGCTCTCGCAAACCAAAGAGTCATGGAAAACATAAAGTTTGACTTTGCTGTTTGATCTTGCATATTCTCTTTCTCTCACACAAGTCTGGCAGTTAACATGGACTACAGCCACGATACACAATAAAACCTGGACTTTTTTCTTAATGGTGTGGCCTTGTCTCTCCTTCTCTTTAGCTTGCTGCTTTCCCAGCCCTTTATCTCTTTATAGTGAGGTGTAATACGCATCGTCTTTAAATATATATTTTTCCTTTTTTCCAGATTTGTTTCAGTGAATTTACAACAGAAGATTAGCTAGACAACTGAAAATACCTAGTTTATATTTATTGTGACCAGGGGTTGCTCTGTTGGCAAATACCATGAGTTGGGGAATTGGGAGAGGACAAATTGGATCAGTAAATCTCAAATCATTCATAGCTTTAAGAAGAAATATTACATTGAATTTAAAAGTTTACCACCTTACAGTATTATTTCTATAGTAGGTTTTCCTCAATAAGTGTTACAGAACTTCAAATACTACCAAACTGGTGCCACAGAGATACTGCTACAGATTATGTCTATGACTAAGTCAAAGATGTCATTGGATGGATCAGAAGTGTTTCAGAGTCATTCATTTGTTGAAACGGCTATTATCCACCTCTTTCTGAAAAGGTGTAGCAGTGTTTTGCTGATTCATTTGTACACTAACCTCCCTGTGTTGACTACATCAGTTATATTCGTACAGACAGTCACTGAGTGGAGGGCACCAAACTAGTGCACGTCTGGAAGTAGGGCCCATCTGTTATCTGACATGCTCATGGGTCAGAACTTAACCCGTATAGTGTGGAGTGCGTGGATAATAAACAGGCTTACAGTGTTTAGTAGTCAACTAACAATCACCTGATGAAATAATAAAGAAATTATTAACCATTTCCATGAATTAAAATTTAAGTGATGTGGTTAAACAAATTAATTTAAGTGATGTGGTTAAACAAATTTGCTTTTAAAATGTTGCTTGAGAAAATGTCACCCGTGTACTTTATCTAAAAAAATAAATTTATGTATTTACACTTGATTTGCAAAGGGTCTTCATTATACCAAGAATGTGAATTCTATATGTTTTTCACTACTTGAGCTTCACACACACTTTGATCATGTCAGAAATTCCAATTTGTATACATGAATACAGAACATTAGTTGCATGTTAATGGCCAGAAGCCTACAGTATAGGTAAAACCAAAATGACAGTAAAGAAAAACCTAAGGGAGCACACATCTTTTCACTTATTCAAAGGCATAAAAAAAAACTTGGTATTAAAAAAAAAAGTAATAGCAGGCTGCAGGGGTGGTGAATTTGTGAGAAAACTACAACCAAGACGCATTCTGGGTATAACAGCTGTGCCTGAAAGAGGCTTGAGTGAGCAGCCTCAGCATTGAAAGAGTATAGCAACAACTGTGCCTATCTTTAAGAGATCTATTTGGACATGATAGATATAGGCCACATTCCATTTTACATAGTCAGTGTTGGGGAGAAGTGAACTACATGCCTACAGTACTTAAACTAGTTTTAACATTTTGCTGGCAGTTCAACTATATCCAGTTTTTCATAATGATTCAGGTAGTTAAAATATTGTTGCCATTTTTGTGTAAACTACTGAATCTAAAAACAGTTTTGGGCCATAAAGGGAAAGGAATTATTTTTTATTTTGATATTACCATTGCCTGTTGTATAATGACTTTGAGAAGCTGCTCATATATCATAAACCAGAGATTCTGCTCTAGCAAATAAAAATATAAGCCCATTATTAGTAGAACTTTGTCCTAGCGGCTGCAAAACTGGCAGCAGACCAGTGCTCAAGTCAGTCAGTCAGTCCTTTTTCCCCCCTCTGTTGTAGTCAGATAATACAAAATCCAGATTTGTTTATAACAAAAATATAATATTGCTGGCAATTTTGTTCTTGTGAAAAGCCCAGATAGGACAGTTTTATTTATGACAGGTTTTGGTCTCAGGTAATAAACATGAGTGACATTTTATACTGGCATCTCTTATATTTTATTTTAAGAGAAAATGCACAGAGAAACTGACCCAGCTCACTGTACCTGCCCCCACCTGTCAGTGGATTACTAGCTTTCTGACAGACAGGGAGCAGCAGGTGAGGCTGGGGAAAACCACATCCAGCAACCAGACAGTAAGCACAGGTGCCCCCCAGGGATGTGTGCTCTCCCCTCTGCTGTTTTCACTCTACACCAACGACTGCATCTCGAAGAACCCCTCTGTCAAGCTCCTAAAGTTTGCAGATGATACAACGGTCACTGGTCTCATCTGAGACGGTGACAAGTCAGTCTGCAGATGGGAGGTTGAGCAGCTGGTCCTGTGGTGGAGCCACAACAA